TTGCGCCGCCCTGTTCGCGAGGTTGGTCTCGGGCTCGGAGGCCCGGGCCCCGCCCGCGGTTTTTGGCCCGACGCTCGGGGGGCTGTGACTCTGTCTGGACGGACCGAATGGCTCCGCCGGACCCGCCACGACTTCTCGGAGCGTTTCCGGGAAGTTGCGGACGGGGCCATTGCCGTAGGCGACAGGGCTGCAAGTCGAGCCGCGAGTGCTGCCAGGCCCGCGCGGAAGGTTCGGCCGGGAGAGGCGCCCCATAAATCAGCGGCTCCAGCGCGCCGTTTGCCCAAGGACCCCATAGGGGCCAAAAGAAGAGCAGATTGTTCAGGCCCGCCGAGCCACCGCGCCGGTTGACCCACTCGAAGTAGAGAAGGAAGCGCGGGGGGATATCTGGGGCCACGATGGCAGGACTGAGGCCATAGAGACACTGTCCTCTTAGAGAGTTGCTGCTCAGAGACCAGGGGGGCTACTGACTAGGTCGACCCCTGATCGTCGAGGCTTGCGAGGTCGCGGTTTGCCCCCCCCATCGCCGGGTCAATGGCGCCCCTGTCGAGCGCATTGCGGCTTTGGCCGACTTTCTGAACGCCGTGGGGCGGCAGGCAGCGGCGCCGCGCATGGGTTTTGTTGAATTTGATCTGCGAGGGGGAGTCGGCGGTTTGGGTTTTTTTCTCGGTGGCGAGAGGTTTCTCGGTGGCGCGGCTTAGAGCCTCGCGCGAGTTGGGCTGCCCTCTCCGTCTCCTCACTATCGCCCTCATGGCCTCCGCCCCCTCGCTCTCCAGGAAATGGCACATCCTGGCCCGCTGCTAGGGGGGGGGGGATTTTAGCGAGATGCGGTCAGGATGTCTCTCGTGCGCGTGCCTTTTTGCACTGGCCGCTTGAGGCGACGTCGAAATTACACCCTGGCCTGCATTGCGCGAATGGACGGGCGGGCTCGCGCGTCGCATGGGAGGGGCCGAGCACTCGATCAGCACGGACCCCCCCCTGCTGTCCCCGGAGCCCTACTGGAGGGGCTCAGGCGTAGGAGGCGTTAGTTCTCTGTTATGTCGAGGAATTCGTTCTCATGGCTTCCCCCGCCAGCGCGGGCTCGAGTTTGAACGAGCGGGCTGCTGGGGGCGGGGGTCGATGGGGGGGGCCGCCGAACTGAAGTCAGCCCTTTGCGCCCGAAGCCCACGACGCGACGCGACTTGCAGCTCGGTCTGGACGGCGCGGGGGCGGCGCGCCGGCTCAGGCGCTCAGAGGGCGGGAGGGCTGCCCTCGAGATCCCAGGTCTGGTCGGGGCCCGCCAAGAGGCCACCCAGCGCCATCTCACCAACGGCCCCCCCCAAGGCGGCCGGGCCCCTGGCGTCCACGGGCCGGCTCCCAGCACTCTGCAGCACTTGCGCGGCCAGACCCGGCCGGGCAGCGGGCGCCCCCGGCGCGGCCCTGGCGCCGCCGCGGCGATCGGCGCGCCTTTCCGCGCGGGGGGAGACACGGATCCAGCGCATTGGAAAGTTGGTCAGAGCCTGGCTCGCCAGAAAAATGTTCGACGGAGGGCCTGGCCCCCAGCCGGGTCGCTGGGATTCGCCCCGGGCTCGCGGGGCCACAGGCGTTGCTGGTGTTCGCAGAGCTCGCAGCGCGCGCCAGGCCCCTCTCCTGCCCCCAGGACGGGGGCGCCCGACTCGACGCACTACGGGGGCCACAAGTTTTTGAGCGGGAGCTGGTAGAGCAAGGATCTGCGCCACCCACCCGTCTCCTGGGCGCCCTGGAACCCGCCGTCGAGGCGAGAGCGCGGCGTCTGGTCTCCAAGCGCATAGATGGTGGGTGGGGGGGTGGAGGGGTGGGGCGGCGCGCGGCGTCGTCCCCCCCTCCCCCCGAGCCCCGTGAGTTAGAGCGGCTCCGGGTGCATGGGTGGCCACTCCCAGGTGGGTCCATGCTGCTGACGGATCTGGATGCCGTCATCACAAGCAGCCATTATTCAGTCGAGTTGCGCAGGGTTCTGTCCGCCTTGCGTCGGCCACATAGCTCTCCTGGGACTCGGGTTGTACGGGGCTGGTGGAGGACAGTCCTAAGCAGACGGTTCGGCTTGCTGAGTTGTTACCCCTGGTTGAAGTGCTCAGAGCTGTCCACCGCAATGTCGAGCTCAGTGTTATGTCTGATCATGTGAACTACGCGCGTGCCTACCTCAGGACTAGATCTCACTGCGTCAAGCTCGAGAATGCTGATCTAGGGCACAAGCTGTGGTCTATAGCTGACTGTTGCTATGCCTCTCTTGTCCTCATTCATGTCTCCGTCTCGTCTTGCTGACGATGAGGTGGGGCTTGCCAGGTTCGGTGCTTCTGTCCAGACAGGCGCGATCTATGCCAGCGCGGCGGCCGACGGGCGCGCCGAGGAGTGGGCTTCCCGCGCCCAGGTTTCCAACGATTGAGCGGGGCGCTCGCAGGCTTTCTTCGAGCGGGCCGAGCTGATCCTTCTTCGGCATGCTTCTCTCGTGATTGAATCGGCCAGTTCTCCTAAGGATCCGGACCGCGTTCTCCGCTTTTGGGAGGTTCCGAGGACCCAGGGGGAGGCGGCCTTGGCGCATCGAGTTTTGGAAGCATCCCCCGACTCATGGACGTCGCTTCCCAGGGGTTGGTCCTGTACGCTCTGTGGCCGAATAGTGCTCCGTGCGCAAAGCAGTTGCCTGACCAGATTGAAATCCAGTTATGTTGCCAGAGAGTCCCTTGCATATCTGTCTTTACCACCTGCTCGCGTCTGTGTCCGTCTCCCGCCTAAGCTTTGATTGTTGTTTCCATTCGATGAGCCGCTTTTTCGATCTATACAGTGGCCCGATCCCCCAGCTTGTTTTGGCAGACAAGGATGGCGAGGCCACATGCTCCATCAGTGCCACGTTTTGTGGCAGAAGGGTGGTTGTGTTTTCTGCAGCGAGTGCGGTAGGTATGCCGAGGGCCATCCCAGGTTCAACGCCCAGGAGTGTGAAGCCATCGTGCATGGCCGACTCGCGCTCAGCAGAGCTCGTTATCTTGCCCTGATGCGAATTTGGAAACGTCTGCCAATTAGAAGGGGCATCCGAGCGCGGGGCCAGCAGCCGGAGTTTTAGTTGTTGAGCCTCGCTGGGCTCCCCGCCGTTTGCTGTCCCCGTTCCTGTCTGCAAACAAACGCGAGGGTCACTCGGAGGTTCGGTGGCAATTGCTCCTAGCAAAAGAACTGCTCCCCTCATCCTCCTCCGCCTCCTCCTCCTCCTACTCCTCCTCTTCCTCCTCATCCTCCACAATCGCACAATATGAATACTACTCTCCTCTCTCCCCTGGTGACGTCCGGGAAATGGCCGGCCCCCCTCCGCGCACTGGTTTTTTACACAGGATTCCTGGGAAAGGGATTCTCGCTGAGGTTTGTTTTCAAAATGCTGCTCTCGCTGAGGCGCTGGCTTCATTTTCGGGACACCACTCGTTCCGAATCGTGCTCCCGCTGCAGCGCTGGCCTCATGTCCGCGCTTCCGCTCGTTCCGAATCGTGTTCCCGTTGCAGCGCTGGCGTCATCATTTCCAGCGCCATGCCACGGCATGGTGTTCTGTCTTTCCAAATAGGCTCCAAAATCTAGAAAATGACCCCCCGAAAAAACCATCGGAATTGATTAGACATTCGGTGTCGATTCATTGATTTTTCGGGCCGCAGAAGCCCCCCCCTTTTCTGGGCGTCGCCACGCCATGCTATGTCAGACTCCGCGTCCTTCGAATTGTGTTCCCCCTGCAGCGCTGGCCTCATTTTCGCGCTTCCGCTCGTTCCGAATCGTACTCCCGCTGCAGCGCTGGCGTCATTATTTCCAGCACCATGCCAGAGCATGGTTGCCAGTCCTTCTGAATAGGCCCCAACATCTAGAAAATACCCCCCCGACGAAAACCATCGGAAGTGATCACATTCGGTGTCGATTCGTTGACTTTTTGGGCCGCAGAAGCCCCCCCCCCACTCTGGGGCATCGCCACGCCATGCTATGTCAGGCTACGCGTCCTCAATTCCGCGATTCGGCGCTTGGCTTGTTTTCAAAATGCTGCTCTCGCTGAAGCGCTGGCGTCAGTTTCGGGCTACCGCTCGTGCGCTTCCGCTCGTCCCCAGTCGGGCTCCCACTGCAGCGCTGGCGTCATTATTTCCAGTGCCATGCCACGGCATGGTTTTCTGTCTTTCCAAATAGGTCCCAAAATCTAGAAAATGGCCTCCCGAAAAAACCATCGCAAGTGATTCCACATTCGGTTTCGATTCGTTGATTTTGGGGGCCGCAGAAGCCCCCCACTTGGCGTCGCCACGCAATGCTGTGTCACGCTACGCGCTGATATTCAACACCATGCTACACCATGTTATGCTATGCCATGTTGCGACATCCGATTGTGCGAATAGAGAGGTGATCTACCCCATGGTAAGTGATGGGAGGGAGGGGTATGACGTCAGGTATGACGCGAGCGTGCCTAGCTTGTCCTCCTCCTCCGCTTCCCCCTCCTCCTTTTCTTCCTTCTCCTAGTCCTTCTCCTCTTCCACGAAGGTCGAGGGCGCCGTCATGTTTCCGCTTCTTCTTGTTCATCAGGGGTATACGTTTCGAGCCCGAGCATTTCGGTAGCGGTCGAGCGAGTTTTTTTTGTTTTGTCCCCCGAGCCCCCCTCGATCTTCGATCCTTCGCAACGTTGACCCCCGGAGGCCTGGACCCACTCCTCCGTACCGGCTTTTTGTCCTCTGAGTTGTTGCCTGACGGTCCCGGAACCCAGCGAGGGCCCCCGGAGGCCGAATAGTGCAGCAGCATAAAAGGTTGTTGGATCTGTCATGACCCAAGGGGGGTCTGAGGCCCAGGGCTGGACCTAAACGGTGTTTTTGGCGATTTCGTGGGCCGTTTTCGTTTCGAGTTCGTTTTGAGGTAGAGGCGGATTCGAGCCAAAAGCGAGGGAAAACGGAAACAACACGAAAACGAATAACACCGTTTAGGTTCAGCCCTGCTGAGGCCTTCTCCTCGCTCCCCTCTGCGAGCTTCTGCCCGCGGCCCGGGAGGTCCAGAGGTTTGTGGAGCAGGCGGCGAGCGTCCAGCTGCTCGCGGAGAGGGGCCAACTGCCCGACCCGCGGGTCACGGCGCGGTCCTTCGATCTGCTGGCGCGCGGGGGTCATAGGCTCAGGGGCAGCGTCAGGGGGGGGGAGGGGCTGGGCTCAGGCGGGGGGGTGCTTCGAGGTTTGAGGTTCTCGGTCGGCTTCGCCCGTGCTCATGGGTTGTACAGCCTCGGGATGCCTTCTAGCGGCTGCGCCTCGTCGAGAGCGTTCGGGGGGGGCCAGGATCGTCCCGAACCGCCGCTGGAGAGCCGAGCTGTGACCCAAAAGCGAGGGCGCCAATTGTCGGGCCCTGGCGCTCTTGCAGAGGCAGCCAGAAGTCGTTCATCTGGCTTGAGAGCGGGAACGTTTGCTCACGGGAACGTTTGTTCACTGCAGGTTCGCGTCGACTCGACGCAGCTGTTGCACGCCGCCAGCGGCCCAGGATCGGCCAATATAGCAGCCGATCGTTCAAGGCTTAAGGATCCACGCGGTTTCAGAGACCAACGCCGAGGGCCGAAAGCGTCACGACACGAACTTGCCGTAGCGTGTCGCGCCGCCGGTTCTGGCCCACCTATTTTCGGCGCACGACACGCTAAGCACTTTCCAGTTCCTGAGCATCGACGTCCCGAGTTGTTACCAGGCTCCCGCAACGTGGATCGGACCGACACGTTATCCGCTTGCAGGGCACAGCTTGTCGCTGGGGCCGCCGCCGCGACACGCTAAGCAAAACTGTCCGACCGTAGACTTGCGCAGTTGAGAGCACCAGGACCTGGATTCCGGGGGTATCACTGAGGCATCGGAGGATATGGGGCGCCTTCTTCTGGCGTGAAGATAGCCTACTTGCGCGATGTCCCTCCATCGTCCCCTCTCCCCCTCTTCCGTAGCCGCCTCCACATCCGTCGCTTACTCGCGTGTTGTTCCTCATCCCCCTGTTCATCGCCTCACCTCCGTCGCTTCCTTACAGCACATGGAGTTGAGCCGTTGGTTCGAAAGAAATCCTCGCAGGGCTTGAAACAGCGCAGCCCATGATATGAATACTTCCTCTTTCTCCGCCGCCTCGTCCGTCCTCCTCTTCCTCATTCCCCCTGTATCCTCCTCCCCCTCCGACCCTCAGTCCCCCTCCTGACTACCCCCCTCCTTATCATTCCCCTCCTCCATCACCCGTAACATTTCCCTCCACGGTTCCTCTATCTTCTTCATTCTATTCGTTATGGGCCACTAGTCTTACGTCCTTCCGCCCTTTCGCCCCCTCTTTCCTGCTCGTATACTCTCCTCTCTCTTTCCTGGGAGTATTCCCACACATTCTAAGTATGAGCTTACTGTCATTAGTGAGACCCCTCCGCCGCACCCTTCACGCCTCCCCCCATTCCACCTCAGAGGCGCTACACTCAGACTCACACTCAGACTCACTCGTATCCAATACCACGCATACCCCGACTCCATCACAACCCAGACTCATTCAGACTCAAGCTCACTCATACTCAGACTCGTGTATGCCCCGACCTTTCAGATCCACTCACACCCAGATTCACCCACTCTCAGACATACATGCCCAGGTCCACTCATACTGAGACCCACTCATGCCCATTGCATTTGGGCCACGGGGTGTTTTACTGGCACGTTCGCGCCAAAATTGTGGGGATGTCTCAAGTGAAACGCGGATATCCCAAGCGTAACGCCCCTTCGCGGCTCTTGGCGCGTCTGTGCATCGGGCGAGTCTGTACGGGCCCAGTCGAGGCCAGATTGTGGGAACCTCGGGTGGCGTGCCCGTTTGCGGCTCTGGACGCGACACCATGACGATACAGCAGGAATGGCATTTGGACCACCTCAAGGGGGAGCCGACCAGGGATGTTCCACGGGCCTATTCGCGCCCAGATTGTGGGGATGCCTTGAGCGGAACGCCCCTGCGCGGTTCTGGACGCGTCTCTGCGCCGAGGTTTGGGATCACTGCGATGTGGCATTGATACTATTGGACCGCACAGGGAGCAGGCGACCAGGGGCAATCAACGGCCCGTTCGCGGCCGGACTCTGGGGACCTCTCGAACCAAGCACCCGTTCGAGGCTTTGGAGGCGTCTGTTTGCAGACCCCATCTGATCACGGCGATGTAGCGGGGGTGGCGTCATAAGCGCCCTGGCGGTGTCTCCATTGGGACCTCTCGAACGAAGCACCCGTTCGAGGCTCTGGAAGCGTCTGTTTGCAGACCCCATCTGATCACGGCGATGTAGCAGCATAAACGCCCTGGCGGTGTCCCCAGTGGGAGGCTCACATGCCATCCATGCCTGCTACATCGGGGTGATCGTAGAGCTCTGATGCGCGGCATGCCAAAAGCGGCCACTCTGTCCACGACGTCCCGGCAATCGGGGTGCGAACGGCTGATATACCCCCTGGCGGCTCCCCCTTGGGCGGCGCAAGTGCCATGCTTGATACATCGCGGCGCGAACGCGTCCAGAACCGTGAATGGGCGTTTCGCCCGAGACATCCCCACAATTGGAGCGTGAACGGGCTTGTGCAACAACCCTAGTCGGCTCCCCAAGGGGTAGCCCAAATTGCCCATGGTTAGACACGCATAGGGGAAAGTGCCAGAACACAAGACACACATGCTGTGGAGATCTTCGCATCGATTGTTGTCCCTCCCCTCTCTATCTCCCTCTGTCCCTTCTCTGTCCTCTCTCCTCCCTCCTTCCGGCTCCTTCCTTCCCCATCCTTGCGCCCTGCTTTAGCTTCCCGCCATTCTCCGTCTTTGTGTTCATCCTCCTTCGCTCCCTTGCTTCCTCCCTGCGTCCCTCCCTCATTCTCTCCCTCCTCCATCCCTTCTCCTTCTCTCATCCTCATCCTCTCACTCCCTCCCTCGGTTCCTCTTCCCCTCCCTCCCTCCCTCCCACGCTCACTCTCCCCTTCCTCCACCCCTCCACATCCGTCCATCCTTTCCCGTCCTCCCTGGAGGCTGCTCGAAGACAGTCAAGCCAGGCAGACTCGCGGAGGGTCGGGCAGGCAGGGGAACAGTCGTTGAGAGCGCGGGAGGTGCTGCAGACGGGCGCCCTCCGCCTTTCACACGCCGCTCCCCCCCCACCCTCGCTCGTTTGGCGCCTGGTGTGCTGCGCCTATTGCAAGTGAAAAATCAAAGCAGAGGTGGCTGGCGTCTGGGGGGGCCTCGCCTCGCCTGGCCCCAGGGCCGTCAAACAGCGATCCGGGGCGAGAGATCCTGGCGAAGAACCCACCACATGCAGTTGCGGGTATCGCGAGGCAGGTGAGGCGAAGGGGGGGGGCCACGAAACGTGGAAGGGGTGTGCCGAAATGGGCGCGGTGGCGGCATGCGAACCCTCTCACTGGGGCCTTTGGTGGAGCTCCCTATTGGGGGCCAGGAAACGCGTGAGTGGTGTGCCCAAAAGGGTGCGATGGCGCGATGCGAACCCTCCCACTAGACCCATCAGTAAGGCTCCCCACAGGGCCGCGAAACGCGTGAGCAGCGTGCCGAAATTCGTGCACGGGTGACATGCGGACCCTCCTATTGGGGCATGCGGTGGAATTTGGAACTCCCTATGGGGCCACGAAACGTCTGAGGGTTGTGCCGAAATCGGCGTGGCGGTGGCATGCGGGCCCTCCCACTGGGGCTTCCGGTGGAGTTACACATGCGGCTACGAAGCTTGTGAAGGGTGTGCCGCAATGGGCGCGGCGGTGGCATCCGGCCTACGGGGCCACGAGTCGTGTGAGGGGTGTGCCGACATGAGCGTGACGGTGGCATGTGGACCCTTACACTGGGTCGGTGTAGCTCGAGACGTGTGAGGAGTCCGCCGACATAGGCGCGGCGGTGGCGTGCGGGCCCTCCAACTGGGCCTTCGGCAGAGTTTCTTATGGCGCCGCGAAACGTATGTGCAAGAAACAGAAAACCGTGCACGTCAGAAGTGCATTGGCCGTATGGCGAAAGGTGGGACACAGGTACACATCGTGTTGCCATCCGCACTGCTGCGGGATGACGACGACGACGACCACGACGACGACAATGGCGAGGGAGGAGCGAGAGAGCAAGACGAAGCGGGAGGACGCGCGGGGCGGAAAGAAGGCGGAACGTATGTGGAGTGTGCCGAAATAGGCGCGGCGGTGGCATGAGGGCCCTCTCCATTGGGCCTTCGGTGGAGCTTACTGCGGGGCCACGAAGCGTGTGAAGGATGTCCCTGAATTGGCTCGGCGGTGGCATACGGGCCCTCCCACTGGACCCTTTGATGGAGCTCCCTACGGGGCCACGAAATGCGTGAAGAGTATTTCGAAGTGGGCGCGGCGGTGGCGTGCGGGCCCTCCAGCTGGGCCTTCGGTGGAGCTCCCTGCGGGGCCACGAAAGTGTGCGGGGTGTACCGAAATGGGTGCGGCGGCGGCATGCGGGCCCTCCCATTGGAGCCTGCGGTGGAGCTCCCCACGGGCCCACGAAACGTGTGAAGCGTGTGCCGAAATAGGCGCGGGCGTGGCATACGGGCCCTCCCACTGGGGCTTTCGGTGGAGCTCCCTGCGGGTCCGCGAAACGCGTGAGGGGTCTGCCGACATGGGTGCGGTGGATGCTGATGCTGATGTGTATGGTGATGTTCGTGCGGCTGGTGATGTTGATGGTGATGATGGTGATGATGTTGATGCTGATAGTGATGCTGATGCTGATGATCAGGATGGTGATGGTGGTGATGATGATGATGATACTGATGATGATGCTGCTGATGACGATGCTGATGGTTGGGTTGTGATGATGATGTTGTTGACGATGGTGGTGATGTTATTGCTGAAAGTGCGCCAGTGGATCTCCCTGAATACACTAAAGGGGGGGGGTCCAGAACCCCCCCCCTCCCTCCCTTCAAGGAGGGGGGGGGGGTCCGGAACCCCCTTAAGGGGGGGGGGGTCCGACCCCCCCCCCTCTTGGCGCTGAAAGGGGGGAGGGGGTTCGCCCCCCCCCCCTCCCCCCTTTGCGCCGGAATGGGAGCCGGGGAGGGCGGGCCTCTCTCGCTTCTCCTTTCTGCGCCAGAGAAGGTGTGTAGGGAGTACGGAGTTGGGAGTAGGGAGTGGTGAGTAGTGAGTAGTGAGTTAGTGCGTAGTGAGTAGTGAGTATTGGGTACTGAGTAGTGGGTAGTAAGTGGCGAGTAGGGAGTAAGGAGTGGGGAGTAGTGAGTAGTGAATAGTGAGTGTAGTGTGTACTGATAAGTGAGTAGTGAGTGGCGAATAGTGAGTAGTGAGTAGTGAGTAGCGAGTAGTGAGTACGGAGTAGGGAGTAGGGAGTAATGAGTAGTGGGTAGTGAGCAGTGGGTAGTGAGTAGTGGGTGGCGAGTAGTGATTAGTGAGTAGTGAGTAGCGGGTAGCGCGTAGTGCGTAGTGAGTAGTGAGTAGTGAGTAGTGAGTAGTGAGTAGTGAGTAGTGAGTAGAGAGTAGCGAGTAGTGAGTAGTGAGTAGTGAGTAGTGAGTACTGATTAGTACGTAGTGAGTAGTGAGTAGTGAGTAGTGATGACTAGGGAGTAGTGGGTAGTGGCAGTGGGTATTGTGTAGTGAGTAGTGAGGAGCGAGTAGGGCGTAGTGAGTAGTGAGTAGTGGGTAGAGAGTAGTCAGTAGTGAGTAGTGGGTAGTGATTAGTGAGTAACGACTAGGGAATAGCGAGTAGTGAGTAGGGAGTACGAAGTAGGGAATAGTGGGCAGTGAGCAGTAAGGAGTGGGTAGCGAATAGTGGGTACTGAGTAGCGATTATTGAGTAGTGACTAGTGACCCGTGACTAGTGAGTAGTGACTAGAGACAATGTACTGACTAGTGAGTAGGGAGTAGTGAATAGTGAGTAGCGGGGAGTGAGTAGTGAGTATTGAGTAGCGAGTATGGGAGTAGCGAGTAGTGAGTACTGAGTACTGTGTAGTCAGTATTGTCTAGGGAGCAGGGAGTAGCGAGTAGCGAATAGTGGGTAGTGGGTAGTGATTCGTGGGCAATGAGTAGTGAGTTGTGAGTAGTGGATTAGTGGGTAGTGGGTAATGAGTAGTGATTAGAGAGTAGTGAGAAGGGAGTAGTGAGTAGTGCTTAGTGAGTAGTGAGTATTGAGTATTGGGTAGCGAGGAGTGAGTAGTGAGTCGGGAGGCGGGAGTGGTGAGCAGGGAGTAGTAAGTAGCGAGTAGTGGGTGGTGGGTAGTGAGTAGTGGATACTGAGTAGTGAGTCGTGAGTAGGGAGTAGTGGGTAGTGAGAAGTGAGTAGCGAATAGCGAGTAGTCAGTAGTGGGTAGTGAGTACTGAGGAGTGAGTACTCTTTGGGGCTGGGTTTAGTGGTTGGGGTTAGGGTTAGGGGCTCGGGTTAGGGTGAAGACTAGGGGTAGTGGTGGCGGGGGTCGGGTTCCGGAGTCAGGGGGCGGCGTGGCGAAAGGGGGGGAGGGGGGGGGGTTGCGGCCAAAAGGGGGGGAGGGAGGGGGGGGGGGTTCGGACCCCCCCCCCTTCTGAAAGAAGGGGGGGGGGGTCCCCGACGACGGATCGGGGAAAGAGGGGGGGGGAGGGGGGGGTTTCCCCGACGACGGATCGGGAATGGGGGGGGGGGGGGGGGGGATCCCCGACGACGGATCGGGGAAGGGGGGGGGGGTCACCCCAGGGGAGATCCAGCGGCGCACCCTCGTTATGGGGAGATCCAGCGGCGCACCCTCGTTATTGCTAAAGATGGCGGTGGTGCGGGTGGTGGTGTTCATTGTGATGATGATGATGATGATGATGATGATGATGATGATGATGATGATGATGATGATGATGATGATGATAATGGTGATGATGATGCAGATGCAGGTGATGTTGACGATGGAATTGATGATGCTGGTCATGACGATGTTTGTATTATGATGTGGACGGTGACGATACTGATGATGTTGATGACGATGATGATGACGATGATAATGACGATGATGCTGGTTGTGGTGATGATGATTCTGGGAATGATGATGATTGTGCTGATACTGCTGATGATAATGACGGTGGCCATGAGTGTGATGATGCTGATGACGATGGTGATGATTGTGACGATGCGGATGATGATGATGTTGATGGTGATGTTGATGATTCAATTGACGATGATGATGGTTATGATGATGCAGATGGTGATGCGGATGATGATGGTGACGATGCTGATGGTGACGATTATGATGGTGATTATGATGGTGGTATCGCTATTGAAGATGACTATGCTGTTGATGCTGATGGTGATGATGAGGACGATGATGATGGGCATGGATGGTGATAGTGACGACGACGATGATGATGATGATGATGATGATAATGATGATGATGGCGATGATGGCGATACTGAAGATGAGGATGGTAATGATGATGGCGAGAATGGTAATAATGAAAATGCGGATGGTCATGATGATGAGGATGGTGTTGATGTCGATGATGACGATCGTGATGATGTTGATGCTGAGGCTGCTAATGATGATGATGATGATGATGATGATGATGATGATGATGATGATGATGATGCTGATGCTGATGCTGATGCTGATAATGATCATGATGCTGATGCTGATGCTGATGCTGATGCTGATGCTGATGCTGATGCTGATGGTGATGGTGATGGTGATGGTGGTGATGATGGTGGTGATGATGATGGTGATCTTGGTGATGGTCATGGTCATGGTGATGCTGATGTTGCTGATGCTGATGACGATGACGAGGACGAGGAGATATTAGGGGGAGGAGGAAGGAGGAAGGGACGCGGGTGTGGCGCTGCTGATTCAAAACGAGGACCCAAATAATAGTGAATGGGAAAAAAGTGCCAGGGAAATGGTCCAGAATCCCGGGGACCCCGCATTGAAGACAACAAGGTATCGGAGGTCTGGGTCACTGGTACCCGCTTCTCACCCGTGCCCCTCCGCCTCCTACTCACCAGTTTCAGCCTTCTCCCCCGTTGCTTTCATCATCCAACTTATCATCTTCAATATCTTCTCATCTCCCTCTCCATCATCTCTCTTCTCCGCGAACTGTCCTTCCTCGACCACTCCAACTCATCATCCCCCTGTTTTCGCACTCATCCCCTTTTCGCTCCATCGTGGGAGGCGCGGATCGCATCGGCCATGCCGAACCTGACGGACCGGAAGTCTGTGGTGCAGCGGTTGCTGCGGATGTTGAAGCCAAGCATCTTCGCCAGTTCGGAGCGCCTACCTTGGGCGCAGAGAGAGAGAGAGGGAGAGGCCTCCTCTGGAACAGGGGACGCGTGCCCTGTGGCTATGGGGGGGGGCCTGTTCCACAGTTCTGGGACGGATTCGTCCTGGTCTGAGGCAGCCGCACCGGCAGAATGCTCGACGTATGTGGGAGAGTTGGTAGGCAGGCGTGGTGTGCCATACAGTCCAGTTGCTCGCAAGTCCAGAAAAACTTTTCGCTGCAATCCAAGTTCAAGTCCAACAGGCCTCCTCCGCCCTGCCCCCCATCCGCTCATCCTCCGCGTCCTCCCCTCCTCGTCCTTCTCCTCCTCGTCCTCCTCTCCTCGTCGAAGAGGCCTTCTCGTCGAAAACGCCTTCTCCTCGTCCTCCTCTTCCCTCCACGTCCTACCGCTCCTCCGCTCCTCCTCGCCCGCGGTCGAGGCGTCGGCTGATGTCGGCGGGCTCCAGGGGGAGGAGACGGGACGGGAGAGGGAGGGGACAAGGAGGAGCAGCAGGGTAAACGCGGAGGGGTCGAGGAAAAGGACGACGAGGAGTAGGAGGAGGAGAGAAGAGAAGAGAAGAGAAGAGAAGAGAAGAGAAGAGAAGAGAAGAGAAGAGAAGAGAAGAGAAGAGAAGAGAAGAGAAGAGGAGAGGAGAGGAGAGGAGAGGAGAGGAGAGAAGAGAAGAGAAGAGAAGAGAGATGATGATGATGATGATGATGATGATGATGATGATGATGATGATGATGATGATGATGATGATGATGATGATGATGATGATGATGATGATGATGAATGATGATGATGATGATGATGATGATGATGATGATGATGATGATGATGATGGCTGATGATGATGATGATGATGATGATGATGATGATGATGATGATGATGATGATGATGATGGATGGATGGAGGGAGGAGGAGGGAGGAGAGGAGGAGGAGGAGGAGGAGGAGGAGGAGCAGGAGCAGGAGGAGGAGGAGGAGAGGCGGAGGAGAAGGAGGAGGAGGAGGAGGAGCACGAGGAAGAGGAGCCGAGGAAACAGTAGTGAGCAAGTGGAGACGGAGGCGGAAAAAGAAAGAGCAGCTGAGGAGGCGGAGGCGAAAAAGGAGGAGGCAGATGCGAAGGGGAAGGAGCAAGAGGAGGATTAGGAGGACGGCGACGACGCGGAGGACGCGATTCGGGTGGATGGGGCAGAGTACGCAGGCGGAGGCGAAGGCGCTGGGAACCTCCAGGACCGAGGGGCGGAAAGATGTAGGGGATCGAGGGGGGAACGGAGGGGGGAGGGAAGAAAGGGAAGAGGGTGGTAGTCCAGGATCAACGGGGAAGGGATGGGGCGGACTGGAAGCGCGGAGATAGGAACGGAGGGGGTGTGTGGGGGGGGGGGTCGCCCTCCTCTCCCTGCCCTCCAACCCCTGACCCCTTCCCATGCTTAGCCGCCTACCTCCTTCCCCCTCCCCCTCCTCCACCTCGTCCTCCTCCTCCTAATCCTCCTCCTCCTCCTCCTCCTCCTCCTCCTCCTCCTCCTCCTCCTTCTCCTTCTCCTATCCTTATTCCTTATTAGAATATACTCCTACTCCCCCCTCAGGCCGGCAGATAGCGGGCGCATCCGGGTGGTCCCATCCTAACCTGTAAAAAACAATACAAAATCAACATTTTTCTTATTTTTCCTCTCGACATGGACGTCCTGTCGTCCACGGCGATAATCCATTGCAAAAAAATACCACAAAGAGCACACGCGCGCGTTCATGTCAGAATCCTACCGAACACCGTGAGTTTGCAAGCATTTTCAACATAAAAACATCAAAAACCCAATGCTTTTTCACAAAAAAATTGTACAAATTTCCCGCCCGGCCTCTCTTGCTGAAATCATAGGAAAACCATAGGAATCTTAAGAATTCGGTCAAATCCAGCGATTTCACGTCATCGCGCGGTGCACTCGCGATGCTCTGTCATGCACCCAGGCCGCGAATCCTGTGCAAAAAATATTACAAAGAGCACACTCGCGCGTTCATGTCAGAATCCTACCGCATACCGTGTTTTTGCTAGCATTTCAACATAAAAACATCAAAAACCCAATGCTTTTTCACAAAAATGCTTTGGGTTGTCCTGTCAGACCGTCGGGCTTCCTCCGGCCACCTCTGGCTTCCTGCGGTGTACCGGGCCATTCTCGACTCGTCTGGCAATGCGTGCGCGGCATTCAACACGCGCTCGCCAGTTCCCGTCGGCAACCGCCATCGCGGCCGCATCAGCTGTACCAAACCGGCTGGCCGGTGTGACTTCGGCCCCCAGTTGTGCCAGCTTTGTTTCTTATGTTGTGGGAGGGCGGGTGACTGGGCATGCCATGCTTGACTCGCTCGAGCTGGCTAGCTTGACTCCTCCTCCTCCTCCTCCTCCTCTTCCTCCTCCTCCTCCTCCTCCCCCTCCTCCCCCTCCTCCCTTTGTCTCCCTCCCCGTCACCTTCCCAGGCGGTTCGGCTCTGCCTGCCGCCCCCCAGGACGCCGTTGAGCGATTCATGACCCAGCTGCACGACAGGGCGCCGTGCGGGGACCAACCTTGGGACGAGGCGGAGCGGCGCGTCAACGCAGCGGTGCAGGACGTCCCTTCGGCTTCCTTGTCTCATCTCTAGCGTCTGCGAGGGAGATTTCCCGTTGCAGGTCGATCTTTTTACTGTGCTCGATGTATCTGTAGGTCCGTGATGCGGGCCTCATTGGGAATAAGTGGGCGTCGTGTTTGTGGGGAGAGAGGAAGGAAACAAAGCAGCACGTTCCTTATTCCCCCCTCCTCCCTGGCAAGACTTGGGGCGTTGCACGGACAGCCTCTGGAGGTCAGTAGCCCAGGCTGGCCTCAGCAGGTCCCCCAGGGTAGCCCACGGCAGCCTTGGCACCCTCATCCTGGGATCATCCCTCCGACGGCAAGCGAACACCGAGGGTGCTCCCGCCCGCCCGCTGCGCCAGTGCAGAGCCTCGACCAGGCGCGTACAGCGTACGGCTTCCGTTGCCGACCTCGTCTTTCCGCCCCTGTTCCTGGGGTCCCTTCTCTTTGCGCCGGCGGTTCATTGGACTCAGGCCCGCTCTGTAGATGTGCGAGCGGTGGTGGCAGACATGGCACGGGAGAGCAGCAGCCGTGGAGCAGCAATGAGGGGGGAGACACTTGGCAAAGCCGCTCTTCTTGTTGGGACCATCTGCTCTTGTTCACAACTACTATACCTCCAGAGCGCTCCACGGACAGCCCCAAACGCAGCCGAATACTCCCCAGTACCCTGCCACAGTGTCTCTTCTCCATGAGTTTCCCTGTCGCCCCACCCTTGGCCCGCATCGCCGCTTGCAGTCTTGCAGAGCGCGGTACGGTTGGCATTCCGAAGCCGACTCTACACGCATCGCCGCCCTAATTCTACACCACAGGGTTGAAGCCTGACGCGCACGGAGGGTGAATGGTCTTTTCCGTAGCCAGTTTGGCTCAAGCGCGCGGGGAGCACGCAGAGGGTGGGCTGGTCTCTAGGTGCCTCGTTGCTGAGACCTCTGCGTCAATGTGGTGCGCTCGGCGTTCCCACGCCGCGTTTCTAAGCTTATGCGTACTGTTGTTCGGGGCGGTCGCCCCTGCTCAAGAGCTCTCGCAACGGCACCTGGAGGACAACTATTACGAAAGAAACAGTTGCGATGAAGAAGCATCAGTGGCGGACAAGGCAGCGCGGGATGTTGCTGTGTCACTTCTGCAGACGAAGCAGCGGGAACCTCTGCAGCATAACGTGCGTGTGCAATCAATTGCAATATTTGCGCAAGTATTCAATACGGACCTTTGGACCGAATTGCAGCAGTGTGTGCAAAACGTCATCGCCGCCAGAGAGAACCGCACTGTCTCTCTGTACATAGCACTGACCAAGGCCAATCAAACAATTCAGGAAGACGCAGCACATATGCAAAGTATGGGCGGTCTTGCCGAGAGTAAGGTGAACATCGTGCGAAATGTAGGTGCCGACATTGGTGAGTTTCTACAACAAGTCCAGCTGCATTCAGCATCCGCGAGCAAGTCTAATGTGTTCTTGAAGTTGCATACCAAGAGTGGAGAGAGATGGCGGGAATTGATGATACAAAGCTTATGTGGAAGCCCTCGTCAGGTAGCGCGCGTCCTAGCTCGTTTTGAGAACGAGGAGGTGGGCGTCGTTGGTCCACCAGGGTTGACCTGGACCAGTGACGGGTTACCAGCTGACCCCACCGAAAATACACATAATCGACATTTGGGTTTTTCTTTGGGTTCTTTGGAAGGGCTCTTTGGAGTACCTGGTGCCCCATTGCAACAACTTCCAGAATACGATGAAACATGGAACTTCATTTATGGAGAAGACAGCGATCCTCCAGACGTTTGGACCATATGTGCGGGATCATGGTTCTGGTCACGTTCTCGCCCTATTCTGTCGGATACACATTTACTTGCGGCAGTTGCGAAGTTTCTGCAGGTTTGGGAGACCGGGTATTCTACCGATGGTTACTCAGAGTGCAAGACGTTTGCGTGTAGAAGCGTTTACGCTTTGGAGCGAGTGTTGCCGACTATTGCTAGCCAGAACCGTTCCGTGGTCGAGGCGCCGTACCATCCGAATCGGTATGAATTTGATCCGTGACTTCTCTCCTTATTCTGTCCGAGTGTATCCATTGAGGTTTACGTGGTTAGCACCGCTTGCGCTGCCCACCTTCGGATACGAGTCGGTCGATGGATATCCGGTCATATTCTACTTTACCCCCTCGTGCTTAGATAAGCGAAGGGCGATTTCGCTGCGTCTGCCGGAGGCTGCGGGCGCCAGTCCGGGCTCAGACCCCAATGCGGGAGCCGAATCAGGCTCAGACAAATTTGCTTTGTTTTTCCCCAGGTGGGCCCCGCCCACCCACCAGGGTCTATGCTAGGTAGCTTGGTTCCGCCGACGACAAGCACATCCTCATGTCTCATTCCCTCATTCCTCTTGCGGGGCCGGGCCGAAACACAAAACATCGAGGGTTCATGATCTTCCAATAGCACGGTGCTTCCCCATAGCATCACAATGTCAATCCGTCATTCATTCGGTGCCTGATGCAAGCCGGCGAGGGCGTTGATGTTGGCGTCACGAGTAACAGGTCCCCTAGCCTGATCATGCTAGGTAGTCTTTCTCGTATTGCCCATCGGCGTCCCTAACAACAGCCTGTACACATACATCTATGTATGTATACATTGATATTTGCACGTCAATAGACATACAACTATATATATGGATAGATAGATAGATCGTCTTGTGCATGGCCAGTTAACATACCAGTGGACACATGTGTCCAGACGCCTGGTGACGCCAACCCGTTCCGCATTGTGGGACGCGCGGGCCCGCACATTTTCCGACAAAATTCCAGAAGGGCGTACGCGTGGGGAGGTCGTCAAGGTCACAGATTCCATGTGTTACAGTTTTCTTGCAGAGAGTGGATGGAGCTTGGTCTGGCCAGTTTCGTTCGTCGGGTTCCTCCGAATTGTTTTGGTTTGGCCATTGGTTCGGCCGTGTCTGGCTTCCCTTGCCCTACTTTCTTAGCGCGTCCCGCTTGAAGGGTCCTTCGAATCTGCCTGATTTGGCACGTGATTTGGGGCCGGTCTCGCCTGAGATATTATCATATTCCGCCCGGTTCGGGGTTGCGATCTCACAAGTTGTTTGGTTTGGGGCGGTGTTTGGCTTGTCGCGATCTCAAGACTTTCCCCGACAGCCCAGGACGCCTTGCATGGTCCTAACGCCCCCCAGACAGCCCAACACGTTCCCAAGAAAACCAGAAAATGCAGCCGAATACGCTCCCAAGACATCCCAACCCGCTCTCAAGACGAACTGTTGTTTCCCCCTCCGTTTCCATGTTCACACATCCTCAATCCGTTTCATGTGGCCCGTAGGTGCTTGCCAATTTTCCAAATTGTGCTGTGCACACTCTAAACAGATCGTGATCCTCATTCTGCACCACAGGGTTGAACCCTGACACATTTGGCGAGGGTCGCCACTCCGCCGACCTCTCGGTGAGAAGATGTGCGGGTTCCGATCTTGTGCATGTTGTTTGCCGCGTCCTGTCGTGCTGCCCGTCTGTGATTGGTTCTGGTCTGTCACCCTCTTCCTCCGCGTCTGGTGCAGAGCGTCATGGGGGCCTCTGAAAGGCCTCGGGGACCCTTCTTGGCAGCCTTTCCAGAGCTCCTGGGTGCGTTGGGTGACCCTCTGAGGGCGTCTCGGGGGGGGTTCTTCGGGGCATCCTGGGGGCACGCTGGGCGTCTTGGGGCACCCTCTTGTGGGAAAGGTCTCCCCGCCCCTGCCGGCCCCTCCTGGGGCTCCTCGTAGGCACCGTTGGCCGTCCTGGGGGGCGCCTTGGGCAGTCCTGGGGCCCTCTGGGGGCAGAACAGCAGGTGTTTTTTTGTTGCTCGTTGCGCATGTGCGTCTCCAGCCTTGGAGGCAGCACAGGGAGGCCTTGACGCCCAGCGGAAGAGGCCGAAGTTGGGACCACGGAGCGGGAGCAGGGTATGGGAAAGCCTTTCCCCAAAGAAAATTGCGAGGACTGGAGAGAGGAGCTCGGAAGAAGCATCTGGCCGCTCAGAGGGCATGGCGGGAACTATCTGGTAGTTGTTTCCGGCCCATCCACCATTGGTGCCCTGGTTGTAGGAGCGATTCGCAGTGGACGCATGGTCGGGAGCACCGCGGCTTCGTAAGATGTGGGCCTCTGAGGACTCTTCGGGGACCCTTGAGGGCCTCCACAGAGATATGATTGGCGTCCGCCGCTTCCTGAAATGTGTGTTTGTGTTTGAGGTGGTTGGTCAGACGGTCACATGCGCATGCTTGACAAACGGCCCAACAACTATTTATACCACGCCTACTTGCATAGACGGCATGTTGAGTTGAATTGATCTCCATTGCACCGAACCTGAGGAATCCGAGAAAGCGCCACGTGCGAATTGCAGGTAGGTTGTTCATTGGTGCGCCCCGCGCCCAAGAATCAACATACTCGGTCTCGGAATTTGAATGGTTATCCCTCCACCATGGTCATCAGCATCCGTAGCCACGTTGGCTGAAACAGCTTCAGGTGGAATTCCCGCTCTAAGACCCAAGGCTTTATCGTACTCTTTCTGCTCTTGAAAGATACGTCTCGTTCGTACCCTCCGAAGCGGAGCCAGAGGTCCCGCTCGAACTACGGGAAATGTACGGCCCAGCAATGGCAGAAGCAGGGATCATGCGGGAAGGTGGCGTGGCACTGCCGTTGGGCGGCCACGAAGCCCAAGGAGCCGCTTCCAGTGAGGTCGTGCTCAGAGGTGGCGCCGCCCTCGGGTTGGACAGCCCCAAACGCAGCGGTGCAGGACGTCCCTTCGGCTTCCTTGTCTCATCTCTAGCGTCTGCGAGGGAGATTTCCCGTTGCAGGTCGATCTTTTTACTGTGCTCGATGTGTCTGTAGGTCCGTGATGCGGGCCTCATTGGGAATAAGTGGGCGTCGTGTTTGTGGGGAGAGAGGAAGGAAACAAAGCAGCACGTTCCTTATTCCCCCCTCCTCCCTGGCAAGACTTGGGGCGTTGCACGGACAGCCTCTGGAGGTCAGTAGCCCAGGCTGGCCTCAGCAGGTCCCCCAGGGTAGCCCACGGCAGCCTTGGCACCCTCATCCTGGGATCATCCCTCCGACGGCAAGCGAACACCGAGGGTGCTCCCGCCCGCCCGCTGCGCCAGTGCAGAGCCTCGACCAGGCGCGTACAGCGTACGGCTTCCGTTGCCGACCTCGTCTTTCCGCCCCTGTTCCTGGGGTCCCTTCTCTTTGCGCCGGCGGTTCATTGGACTCAGGCCCGCTCTGTAGATGTGCGAGCGGTGGTGGCAGACATGGCACGGGAGAGCAGCAGCCGTGGAGCAGCAATGAGGGGGGAGACACTTGGCAAAGCCGCTCTTCTTGTTGGGACCATCTGCTCTTGTTCACAACTACTATACCTCCAGAGCGCTCCACGGACAGCCCCAAACGCAGCCGAATACTCCCCAGTACCCTGCCACAGTGTCTCTTCTCCATGAGTTTCCCTGTCGCCCCACCCTTGGCCCGCATCGCCGCTTGCAGTCTTGCAGAGCGCGGTACGGTTGGCATTCCGAAGCCGACTCTACACGCATCGCCGCCCTAATTCTACACCACAGGGTTGAAGCCTGACGCGCACGGAGGGTGAATGGTCTTTTCCGTAGCCAGTTTGGCTCAAGCGCGCGGGGAGCACGCAGAGGGTGGGCTGGTCTCTAGGTGCCTCGTTGCTGAGACCTCTGCGTCAATGTGGTGCGCTCGGCGTTCCCACGCCGCGTTTCTAAGCTTATGCGTACTGTTGTTCGGGGCGGTCGCCCCTGCTCAAGAGCTCTCGCAACGGCACCTGGAGGACAACTATTACGAAAGAAACAGTTGCGATGAAGAAGCATCAGTGGCGGACAAGGCAGCGCGGGATGTTGCTGTGTCACTTCTGCAGACGAAGCAGCGGGAACCTCTGCAGCATAACGTGCGTGTGCAATCAATTGCAATATTTGCGCAAGTATTCAATACGGACCTTTGGACCGAATTGCAGCAGTGTGTGCAAAACGTCATCGCCGCCAGAGAGAACCGCACTGTCTCTCTGTACGTAGCACTGACCAAGGCCAATCAAACAATTCAGGAAGACGCAGCACATATGCAAAGTATGGGCGGTCTTGCCGAGAGTAAGGTGAACATCGTGCGAAATGTAGGTGCCGACATTGGTGAGTTTCTACAACAAGTCCAGCTGCATTCAGCATCCGCGAGCAAGTCTGATGTGTTCTTGAAGTTGCATACCAAGAGTAGAGATAAATGGCGGGTATGGATGATACAAAGCTTATGTGGAAGCCCTCGTCAGGTAGCGCGCGTCCTAGCTCGTTTTGAGAACGAGGAGGTGGGCGTCGTTGGTCCACCAGGGTTGACCTGGACCAGTGACGGGTTACCAGCTGACCCCACCGAAAATACACATAATCGACATTTGGGTTTTTCTTTGGATTCTTTGGAAGTGCTCTTTGGAGTACATGGTGCCCCATTGCAACTACTTCCAGAATACGATGAAACATGGAAGTTCATTTATGGAGAAGACAGCGATCCTCCAGACGTTTGGACCATATGTGCGGGATCATGGTTCTGGTCACGTTCTCGCCCTATTCTGTCGGATACACACTTACTTGCGGCAGTTGCGCAGTTTCTGCAGGTTTGGGAGACCGGGTATTCTACCGATGGTTATTCAGAGTGCAAGACGTTTGCGTGTAGAAGCATTTACGCTTTGGAGCGAGTGTTGCCGACTATTGCTAGCCAGAACCGTTCCGTGGTCGAGGCGCCGTACCATCCGAATCGGTATGAATTTGATCCGTGACTTCTCTCCTTATTCTGTCCGAGTGTATCCATTGAGGTTTACGTGGTTAGCACCGCTTGCGCTGCCCACCTTCGGATACGAGTCGGTCGATGGATATCTGGTCATATTCTACTTTACTCCCTCGTGCTTAGATAAGCGAAGGGCGATTTCGCTGCGTCTGCCGGAGGCTGCGGGCGCCAGTCCGGGCTCAGACCCCAATGCGGGAGCCGAGTCAGGCTCAGACAAATTTGTTTTGTTTTTCCCCAGGTGGGCCCCGCCCACCCACCAGGGTCTATGCTAGGTAGCTTGGTTCCGCCGACGACAAGCACATCCTCATGTCTCATTCCCTCATTCCTCTTGCGGGGCCGGGCCGAAACACAAAACATCGAGGGTTCATGATCTTCCAATAGCACGGTGCTTTCCCATAGCATCACAATGTCAATCCGTCATTCATTCGGTGCCTGATGCAAGCCGGCGAGGGCGTTGATGTTGGCGTCACGAGTAACAGGTCCCCTAGCCTGATCATGCTAGGTAGTCTTTCTCGTATTGCCCATCGGCGTCCCTAACAACCGCCTGTACACATACATCTATGTATGTATACATTGATATTTGCACGTCAATAGACATACAACTATATATATATGGATAGATAGATAGATAGATCGTCTTGTGCATGGCCAGTTAACATGCCAGTGGACACATGTGTCCAGACGCCTGGTGACGCCAACCCGTTCCGCATTGTGGGACGCGCGGGCCCGCACATTTTCCGACAAAATTCCAGAAGGGCGTACGCGTGGGGAGGTCGTCAAGGTCACAGATTCCATGTGTTACAGTTTTCTTGCAGAGAGTGGATGGAGCTTGGTCTGGCCAGTTTCGTTCGTCGGGTTCCTCCGAATTGTTTTGGTTTGGCCATTGGTTCGGCCGTGTCTGGCTTCCCTTGCCCTACTTTCTTAGCGCGTCCCGCTTGAAGGGTCCTTCGAATCTGCCTGATTTGGCACGTGATTTGGGGCCGGTCTCGCCTGAGATATTATCATATTCCGCCCGGTTCGGGGTTGCGATCTCACAAGTTGTTTGGTTTTTTTGGGGCGGTGTTTGGCTTGTCGCGATCTCAAGACTTTCCCCGACAGCCCAGGACGCCTTGCATGGTCCTAACGCCCCCCAGACAGCCCAACACGTTCCCAAGAAAACCAGAAAATGCAGCCGAATACGCTCCCAAGACATCCCAACCCGCTCTCAGGACGAACTGTTGTTTCCCCCTCCGTTTCCATGTTCACACATCCTCAATCCGTTTCATGTGGCCCGTAGGTGCTTGCCAATTTTCCAAATTGTGCTGTGCACACTCTAAACAGATCGTGATCCTCATTCTGCACCACAGGGTTGAACCCTGACACATTTGGCGAGGGTCGCCACTCCGCCGACCTCTCGGTGAGAAGATGTGCGGGTTCCGATCTTGTGCATGTTGTTTGCCGCGTCCTGTCGTGCTGCCCGTCTGTGATTGGTTCTGGTCTGTCACCCTCTTCCTCCGCGTCTGGTGCAGAGCGTCATGGGGGCCTCTGAAAGGCCTCGGGGACCCTTCTTGGCAGCCTTTCCAGAGCTCCTGGGTGCGTTGGGTGACCCTCTGAGGGCGTCTCGGGGGGGGTTCTTCGGGGCATCCTGGGGGCACGCTGGGCGTCTTGGGGCACCCTCTTGTGGGAAAGGTCTCCCCGCCCCTGCCGGCCCCTCCTGGGGCTCCTCGTAGGCACCGTTGGCCGTCCTGGGGGGCGCCTTGGGCAGTCCTGGGGCCCTCTGGGGGCAGAACAGCAGGTGTTTTTTTGTTGCTCGTTGCGCATGTGCGTCTCCAGCCTTGGAGGCAGCACAGGGAGGCCTTGACGCCCAGCGGAAGAGGCCGAAGTTGGGACCACGGAGCGGGAGCAGGGTATGGGAAAGCCTTTCCCCAAAGAAAATTGCGAGGACTGGAGAGAGGAGCTCGGAAGAAGCATCTGGCCGCTCAGAGGGCATGGCGGGAACTATCTGGTAGTTGTTTCCAGCCCATCCACCATTGGTGCCCTGGTTGTAGGAGCGATTCGCAGTGGACGCATGGTCGGGAGCACCGCGGCTTCGTAAGATGTGGGCCTCTGAGGACTCTTCGGGGACCCTTGAGGGCCTCCACAGAGATATGATTGGCGTCCGCCGCTTCCTGAAATGTGTGTTTGTGTTTGAGGTGGTTGGTCAGACGGTCACATGCGCATGCTTGACAAACGGCCCAACAACTATTTATACCACGCCTACTTGCATAGACGGCATGTTGAGTTGAATTGATCTCCATTGCACCGAACCTGAGGAATCCGAGAAAGCGCCACGTGCGAATTGCAGGTAGGTTGTTCATTGGTGCGCCCCGCGCCCAAGAATCAACATACTCGGTCTCGGAATTTGAATGGTTATCCCTCCACCATGGTCATCAGCATCCGTAGCCACGTTGGCTGAAACAGCTTCAGGTGGAATTCCCGCTCTAAGACCCAAGGCTTTATCGTACTCTTTCTGCTCTTGAAAGATACGTCTCGTTCGTACCCTCCGAAGCGGAGCCAGAGGTCCCGCTCGAACTACGGGAAATGTACGGCCCAGCAATGGCAGAAGCAGGGATCATGCGGGAAGGTGGCGTGGCACTGCCGTTGGGCGGCCACGAAGCCCAAGGAGCCGCTTCCAGTGAGGTCGTGCTCAGAGGTGGCGCCGCCCTCGGGTTGGTGGTGGTCCTCTACGTGGCACTGTGTTACAGCGTGAGGGTGCATGGACGGGCGGTGCAGGTCTCAACCTGCGTGTTCATTACATCTCTGGTGTCCACGCAGTTGCTCGTGAAGGCGTTGAGCTCTCCGAAGTTCGGCTTCAATTTCCCTGCCTGGCTAGCTTCAGCCCACTTCTTGACCGTCTGGCTATGCTGCTGGGCCTACTATGCTTGGCTCGGGGACTGGGGCAAGCTGCTGCCAGGATCTGTCGGCTCCTCCAAGCGTTACAGAAATTTCGTGTTGCCGATTGCTACCAGCCTTCCGCTCTCAGTGATATTCAACAATACCGCGCTCGTGTACCTGGGCGCTGGACTGGTCGCCATCGTCAGCACCCTGTCACCAGTCTCCACGGCGCTGCTCTCACGCCTGATGGGCCGGACGATCGCGAGCAAGGCTTGGTGTGGCGTGTTGGTTGCTTTCGGTGGTGCCCTGATGATCGCGTGGGGCAAGTTGGAGGGCCACCTTGCGACCACGGGCGTTGTCTCTGGGCTGATGTTCGGGCTGGGCGCGGTTTTCTTCCGGTCCGTGAAGGTGGTGTTGCAGGACATGTTGCTCACCCCTGCCGCGTACGCGTGCGGCGCGGCAGAGAGGAAGTCCCTCGTGACGAGTGTTGCCGAGGAGCCCATCGGGCCGATGCACGCGTGGTCCCTCCAGTGTCCCCCGGCCATCCTCGTCTCGGTGCTCTACGCCTGCTGCACGGAGAGCGTCGGCGAGCTCTGGGCGAGCCTCTCCCCCGCCGTCGTCGCGATGGTCCTCTGCTCGTGTGCGAGCGCCGCGGCCCTCAACATTCTGGGGATGTGCACGATCAAGTCCCTGGGCGGGAGCTCCATGCAGATGGTGGGAAAGTTGAACGTGATCGTAGTGGTCGCCTTCTCCGTCGCCGTCCTGCAGGAGACGATACCAGGCAAGGTGATACTGGGCACCTGCTTCGTCGTACTTGGCGTTGCGATGTTCGAGTATTTTCAGCACCCCGACAAGGCCGTTTCTCAAGCCCCACTCGGGACAGCGCAGGAGACGGCGTAGCAACAGATGTGGCACCATTGTAGATTGATCGTCGTCATCAGGATCAGTCTGCTTTGCAGCTTTGCTTCGATCCGTTCCAACCGCTGGCGCTTCTGTTGCGGAGGACCTTCCAGTCAGCTCCGGTCCCACCCAGAGGACACCGAGCCTCTGGTGGCCTGAGCTGCCGTGAATCGAATCAATAATGCCAGCGGCCAGCGCCTGTCCCGCGAGGCCGTAGGGGCCACGGCGCTCCTGAGTGAATTCTTCGCTTTCGCCGTCATGATCATCCTTGGGCGGCATCCTCTGTCTCGTCATCTCATTCATCAGAGAATGCTGCAGCAGGAGAACGAAGACCCGCCTGGGGTCTGCCTCCACGACGGCATCTGCGACGGCGGCGGTGGGCCTAGCTCACGTGGGCATCTCCGAGGAGGGGGGAGCAGCAGCAGAGGAGGGGTGCGGAGGAGGACACCGACAGATCTCGCGCGGCCAGAAAGTCGGTCTGGCACAGGACACGGGAAGAAAACGACAAGGAGAGGAGGAGTTGAATGGGGAGGAGCAGGAGGAGGCGGAGGAGAGGAGGAGGGAGAGGAGTAGGAAGACGAAGAGAAGGGAGGCAGGAAGAGGAGGAGGAGGAGGAGGAGGGAGCCATGAGAGGAAGGGCAGCAGCAGGGGGTTAAGAGGGGAGAGGGAGCAGCACCAGCGGGATCAGCAGCATCAGCATCGTCAGAAGGAAAAGGCGGCAGGCGAAAGATGAGGACAAGGAGGGTGAGGGAGATGATCTCCCTCATCCTCGTCCTCGCATCTCGCCCTTTATTAGTTTCTCCTCTTCGTCCTCCTCATCCTCCACGTCGTCTTTCCTCCGTTTCCCTCATCCTCCTCGTTCGCCTCGTCCTCGGTTTTCTGCTTGTCCAGCACGCCATGTGACATCTCCTGGAGATGTCAAGTGGCGTGCTGTACAAGTGGGAAGCCCAGTGTGGAATGTTGCGGGTAGAAAGTTGGGTATCAAAGTTTTCTCTTCTGTCAGGGGTGTGATAAGGAATTGGGAGAACGTGAGAAGCAAAGGGTGCCAATGTGATTCACCAAAACCGTTTTTCGCGAGTGTAGAACTAAGAGTGCGCGCGAGTGTAAATTTAAGAGCAAGCGCAAACGAGAAAGGGAGCGAGAAATAATAACACCAACAACAGCACAAATAACAAGCCTGTTCGCTCTCATATGCTCGCGTGTCAGTCAACCTGTTTCTCCCAAACCCTCGATACCATCCCTCTTCGTCGTGGAGAATCGTTTGCTTGACTGACATGCGTACGTGGCGCAGCCGCTAAAACAGGGGAGGGGAGGGAGGAGGCAAGGGACAAGGGGAGGGAGAAGGATGGAGCACGAGAGAGATTAGCAGGAGGGGGTTCGGCTCAGGAAAACAAGCGGCAGAACCAGGCAGGCGGATCGGACCCGAACGGGCGGGTCGGGCGGGCGGGCCCAGACGGCGGGGTCGAGCGGGCGGGTCGTTGAAGCATCAGTCTTGCATGGGTCGCGAGGAAGTCCTGAGCGATAGCGCGATTCCCGAGTAACTCGTGAGGAAGTCCAGAGCGAGAGTGTGATTCCTGAGTGTCGGAGCGCGGCATATGAATAAATTGCAAGGGCGTCGAGCGCGATTCCTGGAGAAAGTGCGAGGAAGTCTTGCGCGAGATCGCGATGTTGGATAAATCGTGCAGAAGTATCCGGCGGGAGCCTTTCTTGTTGCAGTTCGGGAGCCCGGGGCGCAATCTGAAGGTTTTCCTTTGTTGAAAATCGGGTGCGAGCCCCAGGAGGGGCACTTCCATGAATAAACACAATGGGCACCGGAGTGGGGGATCAACAAGTAAGTATATTTGTTTGATGTAGTTCGCTCATATGCTCGCGTGTCAGTCATCATGTATCTCCCGAACCGTCGATACTCACCCTCTTCGTCTTTGATCGTGCCCCCTTTGGGGGCATATTTTCATGACCTGCCACGCGTTCTTGGCGCAAACGTTAACAAAGGAAGGACAGAATTAATGTAAAAGGGTGAGAGCCTGGAGGAAGCGAGTGAATGAAGGGAGCGAGGGGGGGCAAGAGGGAGGAGGGATTAGCAAGAGGGAATGGCAAGGAAGTCTCAGGCGAGGCCCAGCTCCTGAGCGAATTATCCTGAAGTCCAGAAGGAGAGCGCGATCCCAGAGCGCCGCCGTGAAGCAATTGAAAGGAATTACAGGCGAGAGCGCGATTTCTGTACGTATACATTGCAGGGAAATCTTGAGCGAAAGCCAGATTTCCAAACCTGGAGCGTAATTCCTGAGTGTCAAGGGCGCGGCGTCTGAATAAATTGCAAAATAGTCCCACGCGAGAGCGCGATCCCGACGTGAATCGCAAAGACGTCCCGAGCAAGACCGCGATGCGTTCACAAACTGAAGGATATCCAGCGGGAGCCGTTGTTGAAGCACACCGGGGGGTAACAACGCAGTTTCGAGGCCCAAGATTCTCCGTTGTAGGAATGCAGGGCGCGAGCCTTGGGAAAGGAATTTCCATTGAAAAACACCATGGGCACATTAGGGGGGATTAACAACAATTCTTGTTGATAGACGAAAATGCAAGTAAAACAAGGAAAACAAGGACGACAGTCCGTGAGTCTGTCCGTGTGGGTGGATGGGTAGTTCAGCAAAAGGGTGAGGTGTGGCTCGCGTGCGCAAGTAGCAAGCAGGGGAGTAGGTCTGGTGAGGTGGGGTGGGCAGGTGGACAAGTAGGTGAGCAAGTGGGTCATCGTGCGTGTGGGTGGGTGAGGCTCGCGGCCGCGAAAGCTCGAGCATTGGGAGCAAGCGTTGATCGTCGCAGCTCTTGGCTTGACCCGTCCGCACTGGACCGGCCTCCGCCGCCGCCCGTCGCCGCCCTGTCGGCCGGTGGCGCACGACCTGGCGAGGAGAGTGCCGGAAGGGGTGTGTGGCGCCATGCGGGCTCGTCCTCCCAGGCTCTGGTCCGCCCCGCAGTTAGGGAGCCCACAAAGGACGTACGCACCCAGCTATGTACATGAACACGGCCCCTGGACCCGCCAGACCTGCCGCGTGATACGAACATTCGCGTAAAGCGAACTCTCGAAACCAGCGTGGATTCATGTACGTGCACGTCCTTCTCTCGCTCCTGAGCAGTGGTGGCCGCCGCACCTCGTCGTCGGCGCCGTCGTGCGCTCGTCGGCGCCGTCGCCGCGGGGCGCCGCGCCCGCGCGCCGCGCGGCACTCCGAGGCTCGGGCGAGGCGGAGCCTCTCGGGCACCGGCCGCAGCCGCAGGGCTACCCCGCCGCGGGCGAGGCCGCTCTCCCTCGCGTTCCTCCCCCCCTGCAGGGGCAACTAAAACGAAGCGAAGATCGGGACAAAATCGGATCGGGATAACTCGAAATCTCTGAGAATCGGCGGGTTTGGAGGATGTATTGGGCGCTGCGGCCGCTCCAGAGCGTTCCGGAACGCTCTGAGAGCGCTCCGGAACGCTCTGGAGCGATTTATCCCGATCTTAGCCCTGTTCTAGCAACGAGAGGGGGGGATGGACCCAGTGGGCAAACATCGAGCTGGCATCGGCGACACACCGTTGATAGATCGAAGGAACATTTTGGGAGGTCCGCGCGGCCTCCGGAAGCTTGGCCCTCGTCGCCACGGCCGGACGCAGCTCGGGACACTGGTGCGTTTGGACCCTGGGAGGGGTCCCGGGACCGCCCTGCTCCGACACCCCTTGCTGGGGCACTTGCGGTGGCGCGAAGATCATCCGCGCTGCGCGCCTCGCGGCCTTGGCTGGAGAGTGGTCCCCCTCCAAGGGGGGAGAGGGGCGCGCGAGAGCGCGAAGGTAAAGCCACGTTGCGCGACGCGCGAGGTGTGGTGACCTGGCGCCTGGCCTTGCCCATGGCCCGCCCCTTGTGCGTTGGTCGCGAGTGGCGGCTCAGCGTCGACCGCGCGCCGGCGGGTTGCCTCGGCATTCATCATGGTTGCACTCGCGGTCGGAGAAGTGCGGCTGCACCCGCAAAGAAGGCGATTACGACGACAGCTTTGGTGATTCAAAGATGGGGTCCTGAGGGAAGGGGTCCCAAGGATGAGAAGGGATCCACGGGTGGAGTTGTATTCTTCGAGGCACCTCGTCCTTAAGACCCCATCCCCATTCCGTCGACAGCTGGTATAGTGCCCGGGTTACGACGACGACTTCAGCGACGGCTTCCTCTGCCACGAGGACTTCGAGGACGACGGTGCGGCGGCGGCGGCGACGGCGGTGTGGTTATTCCCGTGTTCACGTGGTATGCCAGCAGCGTTGCTGTATGCATCGACCACCACGCTGAGGGAAGTCGCGCAAGGATACTGTTGCGTTGCATGGTCATGACATTGTGTGGCAGTCACGTAGCCTCTCGGGGGACCTCTTGGGGCCGTCTTGGGCAGCTCGTGGGCCATTTGGCCGCGGTGTTTGGCCTGCCTTGGGCTTTCCAGGGGGCGTTTGCCAGGAGGCATCGGTCCGTCTTGGGCCCATCTTGGGGTATTCGGGAGTTTCCTGAGGCCAGGGCGCCCAGTCGTCCAGGGCAGTCCGAAGGCAGGCCGGAGACCAAACTCAAACGGGGTGGCGTGGCCGAAGTTGCAGGACCCGTTATTTTTCAAGTTCTGTCATGCGACAGGATACGTTTCGATCTGATCGACCCGATTGGATACGGTGGGGACGCGCATCAATAAACCGGATGGGGTTCGACAGGGTGCCTTGGGTTTTTGTTCACCTTGCGCGTTGCGCGGTGACCTCCTGCAGGCGTTAGCAAATTGTTGCATTCAGGAAGATCTGGGTTTCGCCCCAGTTGCACCTCGCGCGCGGATTTTCAGGGTCGGGTCTCTCGGCAGGGTTTCTGTCGGCTGCGTGCGCACGGATTCGATTCCGGCCGACCCGATGCGGTTCGATTCGATTTTACGACCATCCAATGCGGCCCGATGTGTGCATGGCGTTGTTGTGCATGTTGGCGCAGCCGATCCGTTTCGAGTTCGATTCCGTGCCGATGCAGCCCGATCCGACGCACGTTCCGACCCGATCCGATGTCACGATTCAATGTTGATTGATCTTGTCTCAGGCACCTCTTGGAGCTCGACGAATATTGCACGCACAAGTAACTGTACTTGCTGCGATTGCCTTCCTACCACTGCAAGAGCTGAGAGCCAGCGGGTGTAGAAAGTATGCGCCAAGGGTCCAGGGTGTAGTCGGATTCGGCGTTCGAAGCGGACCCACAGCAAATTAATAGCACAATGGTAGTTCAGTTTTCACTATCAATGAGGAGTGATGCAAACAGTAGCTCTGGGCATGCCCACCATCATGATAATGGGACAATGCAGTAGCAAACATTGTCCTGGCAAGTGCTTTGGCTGGTAGCCGACGCGCGCAGTAGGTTGCTGAACCAGATGTTGGACAGTGGCGCTTGCGGTTGACATCCAAGTAGCTTCCCATCTCTTCCGGGAATTCACATGTTTCATCATACGTCGTGTTCATGTGTTGCCTTTGATGCAGTGCACCTTCCTCCTCCTTTTTCTCCTCCTCATCGTTCTCCTCCGTGTCTTTCCTCCTCCTTCCTCCTCCTTCTCCTCCGACGCTCGACTCGCGCCACAAGTTCGCACAGTTGAGGGGCTGAGACCCCACCGCGCCTCCATCCTCGTCCCGCTTGCCCCATGTCTTTCTCAACAATTTCCTATTCAGTTTTCATCATCCTCGTCATCCTCCTTCTCCACTTCGTACAGTCGGTCGCACAGGACGTGTAATCAGTTGGGACCACAAATGGTGGACAACCATGTTTATCCTTCTGGTCGTCCGCGATCCCCAGACCCTCTGTGCATTGGCCGCAGAGATGTTTTCGCTAGTCAACGCTCGTGCCCGATGAGAGGCGCATGAGCCTCTGAATTTCACGTGACCTTAGTAAGGTTCGGGGATCTGGCCAGGCCAGGGGCGCGTTGGTTGATCAGCCCGCCTCTTTTCTAGCATCCACCTTCTTTGTCCTCGTCCTCCCCATCTGATTCATCCCGCTCCATCCCCCTCAATGGGGCCCGCAAGGCCGCGCAGCCCGGCCCACCGTCGCCCGCCAGGCCGCCCAGAAGGAGGGAGGGGGGGGGGGCGCACATGCTAAGGGTGTTTGGACTCGCCAGGTCAGCGGGCAAGGTTCGCTGCTCGACCCCCCCCTCTTCTTCACTGCTCAGTCACTGGAACGGTAGCTACCCACGATGTTCTTGCCTGAATGTTCTTCTCCCTTCCGTGGCCATTTTCTCTCGGGGGCACGGTCGATTAACAGACTGTGCCCGTGTTATACTCGTGTTGCTGAATCGCGTTACCCCGTTCATTGAAAGAGTGAGCCCTTACACCTTGCACCTTTTACTTCTAGTCAGTCCTCATCTCTCAGCGTTCGTCCTCCCCCATTATGTCCTCCTTACGTCCTGCTTTCTCGAGGTCCTCATTCCTACTCCTACTTTTTCCTGTTTCCTGCTCACCGTTCATGCAGCCTCCCTTCCATCATCTCTCCTCCCCCTTGCTCTTCGGTCCGCCTCTCCTCCTCGTCAGGGGAGTTGAAGAAGAGCGCATGAGAGAGGGGGGAGCGTTCGCTGAGCGGATTTGAGGAGCGCGTGCAAACTCACGCCCTCCCTGTCAGATAATCTGGGGCAGTACATGACGGATAGGGGGCCAGCCACCGCGACCCCCCTTTCGACGACCACGCCTGCCTGCCTCGACCGACCCCACACTCCGCCCCCGCTCCCCTTGCCCTTTCCCTCCCCTGCCCCTGCCGGGCCGCCCCTGCTTGCATGGCAATTAAGAAGCAGAGCTCACACTGAGAGGCGGAATGCCACGGGGCCAGTCCTCCAAGAAGCTGCGTTTGGGAGGTTTTTTTCCGTTGCTCGGGACCCGGGGCCATAAGCCCAACGCCCGGGGGTCCCCCTTGGTGACGGGGGTGGGTACCCAGTCGGGTGCCCCCGGGCCTTCTTGGGGAGGGAGGGAGGGAGGGACGAGGAGGGGGAGGAGGACAAGGAGGGGGAGGAGGAAGACACGGTTCCGCGCGGCGGGTTTCCCTTCCATGGGCGTAGAGCCGCACGCGCAGAGGGCGGGGCGGAGTCCCCGTCCCTGGACGGCGGGGGCACGCGGGGGCGCACCGCGCGGTCGGCAATCTCGGCGGCGCCGGCGCGCCGCGGAGGCTCGCCATCCGTATAGAGAACGAGCAAAACAGAGAGGGAGAGACGCGCGGTCGCGCGTGGTTTCTTGACGAACGCCCGCTCGCGAGTGTGCAGAAGCTACGGCGGCCAACTCCACCAAGCGGTCAGCAGACGGCGGCAGCCAGGAGCGGCAGAGGGAACAGAACAAAGAACGACTGGCCCGATGCGCCCTCTCAAGTCCCTCCCTATCGCCTACGCGCCGCAGGCGCCATGCCCTTCCAGAGCCTGGCGCGCCGATGCCGCCGAGCCTGCCGCCCGCCTGCCGCTCGCTCCCGGCGGCCGAGCCTCGGCCCTCGCTCTCCGGCGTCGGCGTCCTGCCCCGATCCTGGTGGCTCGCCGCCTTGTGGTGGTGCGCCAGTTTTTGTGTCCGGCGGCCGCGTGGGATGAGGCAGCGTGCGAGCGACGGCGGGGTGCGACCGGGGCGGGCCTCCGCGCCACAGGCCCCGTGCCACGCCAGCGCCCGGCGCGCCGACGCCGCCGAGACTGCCGCCTGCCTGCCGTGCGCCGTGCCTGCGATGATCGAAGGAGGCGGCAGCTGCTCCTCGGCGGAGGGCGGCGGATGGCAGGGGGCAGCAGAGCGGGGGCGGCTCCGCCGACGGAACGCGGCGGAAGCACACGATGCACCACCAAGAGATGGCATCATTTTGGGGCTTGGGGCTTCCAAAGGGCGCACCGAGTCGCCGTTGCTGAGCCACGACGGCGGGCGCCAGAGAGTCGACGCACCGAAGCAGCCGCAGGGGTCTCGCTCTTCGAGCGGGAGCAGCACAGACATCAGCGGACGCTTTCGCGGTGGATCTGAGGGGCTTCACGCCCGTGCACATGCTGAACACCCCCCCCCTCCCCCTCCCCCCCAATTCTCCTTTGTCGGCCCGCCGCGCCGTCCGAATAAGAGATGCGGGAACCCGCGCTGCCACGCTGGCGAATAGCTGGGCGCGCCGCTTGTGGGTGTAGCACGATTTTCGCACTCTCGCTTTTTGGTTTTATTCTCGGGGGCCCACGACGGCCCAAGCAGCCTTCAAGTGGGACGACGCTGTCCACCACCCCACCCCCGTCCTTATGCCCTCCTCCCCCTGCCGGCTGGGCGGGGAGGTCCACGCTGCTGACGGCGGCCCTGGACAACGGCGCCCGCAGCTCGAGCAAGAGGAGGGCCGTCGTGGCCGACCTCGGCTTCGGCGGCGGCACGCGGGCGCCCCACTTCGCGCTGGCGCCTGGGGGGGGTTGAGGAGAATCGGGAGCAACGTTCGAGGCTTTCGGCGTTTTTCGGAGGCCCGGAGGTTGGCACCAACACCAAGATCGGCAGTGTGCCTCCACCGAGGGAAGCTGATCCCAATCTCAGCGATGGTGATAATACTTGGGCTTCCTAGGTGGCCGCAAGCTTAGTTACCACCGACATCCAAGTCTAGGATCATCTTCCCCTGGTGGAGGCAGCCCCCTGTGTTGGTGTTGGTGCCCATTTCCAATCCTCGAAAACGTTTGAGGTGTTCGGCCTTGTCGCCCGTTCTTGGCGGTCTTCCAGCCTCGGGATGCTCTCCGGTGGCTGCGCCTCGCCGAGCGCGTTCCAGGGGCGCCCAGAGCGTCCCGGACGGCCGCCGGAGGCCAGAGTGCTGACCCGAGAGTTGCCGTGGAGAGAGCGGTCAGGGGCAGCGTGAAGGGGGGGGGTGGGGGTGGGTTGAGAGGGGTGGTTGATTGGGGGGGCAACGTGAAGGGGGAGCAACGTGAGGGGGGGGGGGCAACGTGAAGGGGGGGGGGTGGTTGATTGAGGGGGGGGGCCTCGACCCCCAATCGCCCACTCACTCCTCGCCAGTGGGGGCCCACGGGCCCCCGCCGCCCAGGAGTGTGCGGGTCCGCCGTCCGGGCCCCGTCGCCGATCCATCAGCGAGGTGTCGCCGATTCCAGGTCGATGGTTCCCCCCCCCGGGCCCCTGAGCCAGTTCCCCCCCCCCCCTCAGAGTTCCCGCTCGGAGGAGGACAAGGAGGAAGGATCGCCATGAGGTTGACCGGCGAGCGAGTGAGCCACGCGAGCGAGCCTGTCGGCTGCTCGGCCCTGTGCAGGGCATGGGTGAGCAATCGTTCCACGAGCCAGGCAGCCACTGTGAACTACGAGCGGAACCCAGACGTCCGACATCTCGGTTTTTGCGAGACACGGGCCCCCGACCTCGCGACCGCTTCCCGGGGACTGGTTTTTCATCCCGGGTCGTTGTGTGACGGCCCCGAGGCCCAGTAAGGGCCCCGAGAGATCGAAAACGAGGAAAAACTTGCGTCTCGATTCTTCCGAGACTCCAGGATGCATGGGTACGAGCAGAACTGGGGATTTGGAATTCGGATTGCGTGTTCGCTGCCGCCTCTGGGCTCCGGGGGCCGCTCCCTGGCCCAGGGGGTGCTTCGAGAACGGTCCAGGATGAAGAGTGGGTCCAGGCGCAGGGGCCTGGGGTCCGGGACCCGTCTCCCGGATGGTGTGGAGGAGGAGCTGGACCAAGACGTCCCGGCGTCGCGGAAAAGTATCGAGACACGGAGGTTTGTCCTCGTTTTCGCTCTCGCGGGGCCCTTCATTACCGGGCCGCGGGGCCGTCACACAACGACTCGGGATGAAAAACCAGTCCCGTGGAAGTGCTCGCGAGGTCGAGGGCCTGTGTCTCGAGAAATCGAGGCGTCGGATGCCTGGGGGGAAGGGAGGAGGAAGACCGTGCGGGGGAGGGGCGACAGAAGGCGGAGGTCTTCGAGGAAGGGGGGCGTGTCTGGAGCTGGAGATGGCGCGGTGTTCGCCTGGCCGAGGGGGGCGCCTGGGTCACCCGAGGCGAGATCCCGAGGTCGCAGGTGCTGCCAGAGAGATGTTCTTGTGGGAGGGGGCAGCGTGAGAGGGGCGGAGAAGGAGGAGGAAAAGGAGGAGGAGGAGGAGGAGGAGGAGGAGGATAAGAAGGAGGAGCAGGAGGAGGAGGGCAGAGCAGGGGGGGCAGTGGGAGAAAGGGGAGGGGCGGGGGGGGGGCGCAAGCTAGGGGCGCACGCGCCAGATCTAATGTCCTCCCCCTCCCAACCGTCCCCTCGCACTTCGTCGGGTCCTTTTCTTTCCGCCAGCTGGGGTTGTCTCAGAGGACAATGATCCCCAGGTGGCAGTTACAGGATTTGACGTTCCATTTGCTGCACAATTGGAAGCTTGAATGTGTTGCTCATTGGAGGAGGAGGAGGAGGAGGAGGAGGAGGAGGAGTACCAGCAGCGGCATCAGCAGCAGGAGCAGGAGCAGAAGGAGCAGGAGGGTAGCATGGGTGCCTCGCCCCGTGTTTGCTGGGTTCTCCGGGTTTTCGCCATGTGCCGCCCGCCATGTGCCGCCCGTGCCCGCGTCGTGGGCGCCTCGTGCGTTGACTGGGTTATTCGGGCTTTCGCCCGGTGCCCAACCGCGCACGCCTCGTATGCGCTTGCACGGTGGCGAAATATTGCGCCACACAGTTTCCACCATGTAGTCTCGCATAGTTTGGGCCGCGTGTGAATATATATATATATATATATATATATATATATATGCATGCATGCATGCATGCATACATACATACATGCATACATACACGCATACACGCATACATGCATACATGCATACATGCATAAATGCATACATGCATACATGCATACTTGCATACATGCATACATGCATACATGCATACATACATACATACGTACATACATACATACCTACATACATACATACATACATGCACGTCTGAGCAATCCTATATATAAAAATATACCCGTACCTAAAGGATGGCGTTTGGCGGACACCCACAGCGACTTCGACCAAGGAAACATGCATTCTGGGCGGCGGGAGCGTACTCATGAGTAAGATGCGCAGCCCAGCCTCATGTGACCTGTCTGTGCCGCAGTGGTCTTCAGATTTGCTTGTTTCGCCTCCCCCACCGTTCTTAATTATTTCAGCACCGTGCGATGTGCCCTATCGAGAGTATGGTTTTCCTTTTCTGTCCTCCCTTTCCCTTCTCTGTGTGCTCGTGGAATGCTGGAGGAATTATCATGTATGTTCAGTCCCTTTTCGTCAGGACCGCGCCCAGAAGAATATATCCATGTTTGAGCGTCTCTGTCAGTCTTACGACGTCGTTGATATCCAAGAAACCCACGGACACCCAGGTGATGCCGACCATTTTGTTTGTTCTCTCTCTCTCTCTCAAACTCCCGTCCCACACTGTTGGCTTCTCGGTTTTTCTAATTAGTGTTGGCACTGGACGGAAGATCACATTTGTTAGCAGGTCTTTCGCGAGTCTGTTTACTGAGATCGAGCACCGGCCGCTGATAGATGGCCGGGTGCGCCTCACCACTATGAAGGGCACGCATGGGCAGTGTAACATTGTGAACTCTCACATGCCGAACACTTCTGAACATTTCAATGTAAACCTTTACGCGCTGCGATTGATTAGCCGGGATGTTCCGAGGTATGCTGAGAATTTCACGATCTTGCTGAGGGACTGGAATTTCACTCTGGAAAGGAATGGGCGTCAAAAAGCGTACGGCGGCTTGTGGACCCCAGGGGACCGACGTCATGCCCAAGCGTTCCACTCCCACCTCCCTGATTTGATTGAGTTTCGCGCGGAAATTGGACACGCGTCGTGCTATTGTGGATCGTGTGATTGCCCGTACCTCCTTAGGCTGGATAGAATGTATCGCTCGCTGCCTAGTGCGATTCTTTCTGACATAACGATCGTGACGTCGACGGTCGGACACATGACGATTGACATGCCCTCGGATCACATTCCCGTCGTGTCGACGATATCGATGTACAGCCCCGCTTCTTCCGAGAGCAAGAATATTCCGCTGTGGTTTGCGAAGTCGCCTGATTTTGCGGAGGAGCTGGACAGCCTTCTGCGGACCCCGCTTGCCTCTGATGCGGGTGATGAGCGCCTCGCCTGGACTAAAGCGTGTACGCATTCGGCTGCGTCCCGTGCCCGTCGCCACATTAACTGTAGGGTCGCTGCCACATTCGAGAAGCGCCACCACGCTGGCATGGCTGCGGTTAGAGGTATGAGACTCCAGAACATGAAGTTGATCGAGAATGCCTTAAATTGCTACCCACATCTGTCTGATTATATTGCTGACGATACACTTGTTTGTGATGATCGTCATGCCCTGCGCCAACATGTTCGGAAATTGTATTTGAAGATTATAGGTGTTGCTGTGCTGGATCTCGAGGGTGACCCACCAGATGATTTCCAGAGACGGAAACAGGAGAAACAGATTGCACGGCGAAGGTTGTTCTGGCAGCAGTTCCGTCGTCGCACGTGGCTTCAAGGAGTCCTGGATCAAAATGACCACTCCTACCCCCCCCTGCTGCCTCCACTGAGGCCTCGCGGAACCACTGGGGGAAAGTCTTCTGTGGAATGCAAGGAGACCACTCCAAGTAGCCCGAATGTTTGCCTTTTTGTCCGGCAGGTGCCTGTAGGAGGCGCGGTGTCTTGGGAAGTGGACGATGAGACCTTTAATGGGGGACATCATCATGAAACGGAAACATGGTATGCCTAGTCCTGATGGGATCCAGTATTGTTGTGGGCGCCTTGGGGATGCCCCGCGCTTCCTGGGCATTTTTAAAAATCGGGGCCTGGTGGACGGGAGGCATGAGGATCTTCCGCGGGATCTGGTGGAGGTGTTGTCGGTTTTTCTTCCGAAAGGTGATAGGGCCAGCGTGGGTTCTAAACTATATATAGGACCCCTGCAAACACCCGTCCGCTTTCCATTGGCAATATTGACGCCAAGCTGGTGATCTCCTGCATGTGCCGCCCGCTTAATGATGTTGCTCGCTCGACGGTTTCGGCCTCGCAGGCGTGCATTTCTGGCCGCAGCATGGCTGCACATATTGTTCGCGCGGAGGCTTGGGCCCTGCCTGAGCATGTGCAAGGCAACGAGGACAGTTCAATGGAGCGGACGGACTACTCTTGCTGCCTGTTCCGCTCTGTCGACCGATTGGTTCCTGGAGGTGTTGGCCAAGATGGGAATTCCTGTTTTCGCTGTCCAGTGTTTTTTTTTCTGATGTTTTATAGCGATGACATTGGTTTATGAGACGTTTTCTGTTGCTCGTGGGGTTCGCCAGGGGGACCCCGCTTCCATGGTGTTTTTTTTTTTTTTCGGGGGGACGGCTCCACTCCAAGAGTTTGTCAGCAAGAGCTGTTGGGGGGGATTGCATCTGAAGCTTGGATATGCGGATGAATGTTTATG